TTCCAACCTAGTGATTCTGTGATTCTATGATCTTTTAAAGAGGTGTGCTAGACTTTAGCAGAACAACCATTTCAATCATGTGAAACAGACAGCAACATGCCGTTCTGGTCTGTCCTGCAGGCTCAAAGTGTAGGGGAGCAAAATGCCCCGCGAAGGTTCAGCTCCAGAGCTCCAGCATGGACTTCCCCACTTGGGAAGCAGAGTCACAGCCAAATTACACGTGACTGCCTTAAAAGCCTTCAGTGAAGTGGCAAATGACATTTTGTGCTTTGTAAGTCTTCTGCAGCCATCCTTAGTGGAAAACGGTGGCTTTATGCCTAAACACAGAGTTCAGCCTTCAACTGAGATTCTGAGAGTACAGGATGTCCTTCTACTAAGGGCAGACGTTTCTTCAGCTGCGAAGCTGTCATAGGGCAGGGCTGTCCGCCTATGTGCAGACCTGAATGTATAGCTCTGTGCTCCGTGAGCCAGGCAGCGCAGGTTGATCCCATGACACCTGGAAACTGCAATGGGAGCAGTTGGTGGTTTCAGCATTGTGATCCTGTTCTCTGTTTTCCTTTTCTCTCTGCAGGATGCTGATGTTTCTAATCAGATAATCCTTGTAGAGGACGTGCTGGCCAAGCTGTGTAAAACGGTGTATCCACTAGCAGATCTCTTAGCTAGGCCTCTACCTGAGGGAGTTGATCCACTGAAACTTGAAATTTATCTTTCAGATGAGGACTTTGGGGTAAGGAGAGAACAACATGTGCACTGTTACTCTGTGCATGTGTGCCTAACCGTGCTGTGAAGTCATTTGACAGTTTTGCTACTTAGAAATGTTTTTACTAATGGCATATACTCTCGTTTTAAATGCAGGTGGCATTAGAGATGACAAGAGAAGAGTATAATGCACTGCCATCTTGGAAGCAGGTTAATCTGAAGAAGGCAAAAGGACTTTTCTAAGTTGTGTTTATTGGAGTGAGCACTGAAGGGATGTCTGTTTTCACTTTCTATGCCCTTTAGAAGAATTGTACCCCACATTTGCAAAATAAATAGAAATAATCTGAAGTTATTAGTGACTACCTATCTGGAGGTGTGTAATATCATAAAAGGCCGAGAGAACTCTTTGGAAATGGAATTTGGTTTTGACTGTTAAAGGTAATGTGTTTAAGTTCTGCTCTCCTATGCACTTAAACAGTAGTTTCTTGAGCTACTGCTGCAGGTGTCCTTTGACTATATACAATACTTGCCATTTTTGTTTTTGAAGAAGTTCTCTTTGTAAAGTGTTATTTTGTTAGTTTGTGGATTACAAAGAATTTATATTTATATAAACACATAGAACAAGTATGTATTTAACAATGCAATATATATTCACTTTCAAGACTTTCATGTCAAAACTACAGAAAAGTAGCTGGATGGCAGTTGCTTGTACTGAATTAGCTATACCACCAATATGTATCTCTTGCGCATTCTGAAAAGTTTATCTTGCAATAGTTAATGAATTGTTCTCAGTGCTGCTTCAGGTGCTAAACTGAACAAAGCGTTTGTATTTATAGCATGGATTTCTTGAGAAACTATGCGAATCAACCTTTATACTTTATTATCCAAAAATGTATAGTGCCTTGTTTTTTGTGTACAGTTTATATACAAAAAAAAAAAAGATTGGTCTGCATTTTGAAGATAGCTTAGAACAGTCCTCTATGTTACTTTTATAATAGTAGAAATAAAAACATCTCAGTTTCTAATACTTGTTGTAAACATTAAACATGTCTTTTGTGATATAAGAACTGAAAGTAAAAGCTTCTGAATAAACTCTTAGCGATGCTCTGACTTGTCATTATTTTGTACTGCAATCTGTACTAAGTTATTGGAATCTTCCATAACATGGTATTTTTATCAAAATTTTGTCAAAATATTTTATCAAAATATTTTAAACTTGGATATTTGCAGGTGTTGTACAGAGTTATAATCTGAGAAGCAGATAATACAGAAAATAATCAATGTATGAGATGATAGAATTAGGTTTAATGCTGAACATTGGCACAGTCACACAACTCCTGTATCCTTTGGGTTGCCCTGTTTTATAAATGGAAACCAAAATTATAATGCTGATTTTCAAACTTTGAAAAAATCTTTTCAACCCTTGTGCAATTGGGAGTAAAACTTGAACTGAAAATGATTATGGAATTGTGTCCATTCTTTCAATAAGCAGTGGAGTCAAAATTGTTTTCATTCCGCTAATTAGGATATTGAATAGAGTAATCAAGTAAAAATTTGTTATTGTTTGAAGTGGTTTTCAAGCATTTGACATCTCTATAACAACTTGTGTGGTTCCCCTCTGGTAGCTTAGTGCATTTCACATTTTCGTTCCTGCCAGTACAAGTTTCCTCCTGCGTGCAGCCGCTCAGGGCTCCTCCTGCCTAGGTGAAAAGGGATCACCTGCAGCCGTGCCTGTTGCTGCTCTTGTCATTCTCCTAGGCCCGGGAAATGAATTAGGATCTCTGAGTGGGTGAGTTGTAGATTTCATCAAGATCTGCAGTAAATACTGCTCCATAGTTAAAATTAGTCTTGTTTTAACGGACCAGTTAGTAAGTTGTAAGCTTAGCCTTTTAAGTAAACCAAAAGTCTAGAAATATACAAGTACTATTCACCTGACCTAAGGTATTACAGGTGGATTTTCAGCACTGGTGTATTTCCTTTCACTACTGGTTTCTGTCAAGAACTAAAAATAAAGAACCCAAGAAAAGGGTAGCAATGGTGTTCAGAGCCAGGGATAGATCTTGCATATCTTCCAGCAAAGCCCAAGATGTTTAGGTGTCTGATAGTTCCTCAGAGGTTCTCAGCTATGTCTTCTGCATGGGGGACACTCTTAGTTCGAAAATAGAGGGCTTTATAGCCACAAGTTCATTTTTTCAAGCACTGAGAGGTTTCCAAAGTCACTGCTGTACTCATCTAAGTATTTTTGCACCCATATATTTTCCTCTTTCACCCCCTCTGGTGATAAAATAAGCAGGAATTAAGTTTTGTTTATTCATGTTCAATCTGTACCGCAGGGGTAGCAGGTTCCTCTGTTTTGATTTTTCTCTCCAACAGAGAGCTGATTTGCATAGCATGATTGACCTTGTTTTTCCCTCTGGCAGGGTAGTATCATTTGCTTTTGTTTTTTCAAAACACCATCACTCCTCTTCAAGTGCTGCTGAAGGGCAACATCCACCCACCCTTAAGGCCTTTAGAATGTCAGCTAAAAGACGAGATGAGCCAGCATGGGGACCTGCAGGCAGGGAAACATAATTCAGTGCCGACAGCTCTCGGAGTTACCGTAATTTTTACATAATTTGATATCTCCTGTCCCAGTTCCAGGAACCGGGACACAGAACCCAACGTCCTACTTAAGTGCTTTGCTCCTAACACCGCCTAGGAAAACTTCAAGGTTTTGCAGAAAATATTTTTATTGCCCTTAATATACTCGTTATTTATCGAAATGCTTTCCTGAAGTGTGAAGCTGACAACAGAAAGCAAGTCAGTGTAAGGCTTCAGACAGAACTATGGGTTATGCTTCAATTTTCTGCTACTTTCCGCTGTGGGGCTGCCATTTATGGTTGGAAATTAGAAAGGGCCATTAAAATCTTCTGGAACTGTTTTTACAGCCCTGCATGGGAAATACAGCTGAAACAGGTTTTGTATGGGAGGGGGGTAGATCATTTGTTTGCATGGGTTATCTAGTGTTGTTTGCTTGTTTCAAATAGACCCTCAGGAACACCATGTCCAAAGTGAATTTCAAAGGCAAAGTATCTGGTACAGGAGCTCTGTGTGTGAAAAAGGCAGTACCTTCACCATGGCTTTCTACATTTTCGGTCAGTCTCGCAGCTTCCAGGCCTTGAGCCATGATTCTTATCTCCTATGGCTTTGAACTGCTCAATCCTGACTTAAAAATGTTGCTCTTCGATTACACAAACATTCCTGCACACGTAAGGATTTGCTAGCAGTGAAATGGGCTGAAAATGTGAATACATTAGTATGCCAAAACAGCAAATAAAACATTATGTCTGAAAGATCTGCCACCTGTATGCTTCAACCAGAAAAGGAGGAAAAATGGGAGGCAAGGGGGAACAAAACTAGATCTTCAACAGTTTGGTAGGGCTTGTTTCTGTCCACCACTGTCCCATGAGTCTCCCAAATGGGTTTTTTAGCTGAGCAGGAGTTGCGGACCCATGTGCACAACTGGCGAAAGCTGATTCTGAGCTTCTCTGAAAGCCTGTGGCACTTCTGTGGGCGGCGGGCAGTGGCAGGTGCCGCGTAACCTCCTGCGCAGTGGGGCTGTGAGGCTGGAGAGCCGGCTGGGATGGAGGCTTTGCCTGGCGAGACGTGTTCCCCACGGGGCAGCGTGAAACCCGCTTGGCTGGAGTGGCAAGAAGAACAGTTTGACGAGTCTCTGCTGCTCACTCTCACTCTAAACTTCTCTTTTGGCTCAAGTAGCAGATGAGGAGAAATAGCTCAAATAATATTCTCTGATGTGCCTGCTTTCCACATACCCTTGTGTGGAAACTGAAACAGGTTTGCACTATTGGGTCATTGCTGCCTAGAAGTAGGAGAAAGCAGGCTGTACACCCAAGTCACCACTCAAACGTGCGAGGTCCCTGTTCAGCTGATGCACTCTCCCGGTATGACACTGGGAGCCAAGAGCTGATGTCACAGGGAAATCCCTTTTAGGCACAGGGTGAGGATTGTGCTCAGCCAGTCAGTACTGGTGTGGCTCTGGGGCTTCTCACAGGGCAACGGCATGGGATGGCTCACACATGCCTGAGATGCTGCCATGCAAAGATGAACACTTTTAACCTTCCCCCTAGATTAAATGTGTGAATTGATCTTTGATGGGGATGAAGGAGGTTGGGGTACGGTGCTGGAAATACCAGGTTGATTCTCCCTTCTCTGGTCTCATATTTACATGCCTCATAAGGTTAATTATGAATCTACATTGTTTGCCTGTGATTTGATCTGAGTAGGACAAGCACCTGTAGAGTAGGACAGAAAGAACTCCTCTTTCTGTCACTCCCCGGGGGAGTTAGTAGCTAAAACTGTCTGGAGAATAGGCTGGAGAGTCAGTGCAGTTTCCTGATTCATGGGACTAAGCTTTGCTAAAACGTGTAACTGTGGGGTAGTGTTGTCACAGTGTTATTCTTTTTCCATCTAATCAAACTGTCCTGGCCCTACAATAATTATACCAAAAAAGCCTAAAATATTTTAATGATATTTTTCCCTTCATGTTAAGCCTTAGCATGTGAGCTGGACTGGCTTATTGCTAGCAGTATTTTTCTGGACACTGACTTCTGAACTCGAGGGTGAACAAGTGCAAATTCTCTCTTTGGGCAGGGGCACAGCCCAAACACCTGAGCAGTAAGTAAAGCCAATCCCAGAAAGAAAGGGATAAAGCAGAGGCTCTTCCTGCCAGTGGGCAGGAGGGCAATCCCAGGGACCATGCTGGTCAGCCACTGCCCTACCCCTGAGGGAATCCACTGCTGGCAGGCATGGCACCAGTCCATACCTCTCCCTTTCAAATTCAGCACCTCTTGGTTTAGCAAAGGTGCGGGCTCCAAGGCATCCCACTCTGGCTGACAGCAGCATGGACCGGGAGCCAGTCTTGCAGGGACTATTCCTAGAGTTGAAGCGCCAATGAAGAAACAACCCCAACCAGCCCATAAAACTGCTTGCTCAGGAGCTGAAGGAAAGTAAATCTTTATGTCTGGCTTGTGCTTCTCCTGAGGGAATGGTGAAAAAGAGGGAGTGCCATACGCTGTGTGCATGCCGTCATCTTTCCTGCAGCTGGGCTACTTTGCCTTGGGGCGCTCCTTGCCCATTCTTCCTCGAGGCATCATGCAATGTGCCCAACTGCCAAGGCAGCAGGCACATGAGACCAGCAGCAGGGGCTGCATCTTCACAGTCTTTCATGCCAAATCTTACGCTCTTCATAAGGATGTGTAGCCCAGAGGCAAAGATGGTCCCATCCTGTTTCTACAGCAACAGTCGTCAAGTAAGGGCAGCCCCACGACTTGAGGTCTGCATGCAGTCCTGACACGCTGACAAAGCAGAAAGCACCAGTTGCTCTCTTGGCAAGACCATAAAGTGCCACTTGTATAAGCTTTGTAAATCACTCTTGCTCAGTGTTGCCCCTTAGACTAGCACAGGAATACATTTTCACAGCAAGTACCAGGCTCTGGACAAATTTCTTACATCCTGTTGCTAAAAGATGATACAATATTTTACGCAAAAGAAGCAGCTTTGTTTTCTGTTCTCTCATCACAATAAGCAACCAGAGTATTTGAAGAAGACTTTATCTCCTCGAATAGAAGGTAGAGTAGGCTGTGGAGATGCATTGTAAAAGCTACTGAACGCACCTGAGGTTCCTGGCTCTGCTACAGGTGTGCGTACACACCCTGTCCAGGCCCTGTGCGGGCAAACCCTTGCAGTCATGCATTTCTACACTTGTGACTCTACCAACCCAAGCAAGCTGGAAGGCAGCTTCAGGAGTTACCTATCCTGCCTGCCTGCACCACAGCTGCAAACATTACCTAAATCATCCCAAGCTTCTGCTCTCTCCTCTGCAGGGACCTGTCCATGGAACTACTCACCAAGTTACAGAACAAGAGAAAAGTCCTAGAGCACATGCACTGCTGGAAGAGCAAGGGGAGGGAGATTCTTCTTGACCACCTGTATTGTCCCCATTTTCCATATTACCAGCTGATACCTGTTCAGCTTCAATTTTACACTGCCCTAAAGAGTGGTGTTTGCTCAGCCTCCCCCTCTGCAGCCTGTGGGTTCCAGGCTGCG